AAAAAAAAAAAAAAGTTTGTGCTGCTTTCTTCCGGTTATGCATCACGTGATACCTCCCCCACCCCGTCTAGCCAGGCCTCCTGTGCCCTGGAAGGACCCTCGAAATGCTCGCCATCTAACCCCTTGTTTCCATGGAACAGTCCCTGGCCCCTGGGCTCTGAGGGCCCTGCCCCTGGTCAGCCTGTAACGTCTGCTGCCCCCACAGGCCACGGGTGCCCGCCTGCCGCATCCATGGCCCTGGCCAGCATGAACGAGCTTCCGGAGAGCATCCTGCTGGAAGTATTCACACACGTGCCCGCCCAGGACCTGCTGCTGTACTGCCGCCCTGTCTGCAGCCTCTGGCGCGACCTCATCGATGTCACCACCCTCTGGAAGCGCAAGAGCCTGCGCGCCGGCTTCGTCCCCGAGGACTGGGACCAGCCCGTGGCCGACTGGAAGATCTTCTACTTCCTGTGCAGCCTCCGCAGGAACCTCCTGCGTAACCCGTGTGCTGAAGGTGGCTGGCGGGGTGGGGGGCTGCCTCGGGGCCTTTGCACTTGCTTTCCCACACCTCTGGAATGTTCTCTCATTCCCCTGACAGGTACCTCGTGCCCTTGGTTCCTCATTCTTCAGGTCTCAGTTCAGAGACCTGCCCTGAGCCCCCATCTCAAAACAGTGCCCCCCCATAGCACCCCCATTGTGTCCTGTAGCACTTTTTATAATTATCTTTTTCCCTCTGGCACAAACCTCATGTTCCTGGGGCCCCATGGACCTTGCGTGCCACTCTGTCCCGTGTCTGCAGGGACACCTTCACGTGGCAGGTGCTCACTAAACATTTGCCGAATGCATGGACACACTGTGGCCACGCAGCCGATGGAGCTGTGCCCTGTATTTCAGTCCAAGCTGCCCGCCACTTACCAAGGGCCTCAGACCTGGGGTCTTCACAAATGCTATTCTCGGCCCTCCTGTTCTCCCCACTGTACAGACAAAGAAACTGAAGGTTCTGAGGCAACCGTGCTCATGTTTGAGGCCCGTTTAGCCTGTGATATTCTCTTATACTTGCCAGGGCCTTCTCCCCGTCTCTCCGCTTCTGGACCAGGCATCCTACTGCTCCTTGGGGCTGCAGCAGTGGCTGACCACAAGGCGTGGTTTGTGTACCCAGAATGCCCCCCTTCTTGCCTCTTTTTTTTTGAGTTGGAGTCTCACTCTGTCGCTCAGACTGGAGTGCAGTGGCCGCTCCCGGCCACCGCAGCCTTGACCTGCTGGGCTCCGGCAATCCTTCCGCCTCAGCCTTCTGAGCAGCCGGAATTACAGGCATGCGCTACCACGCCCGGCTGATTTTTTTATTTATTGTAGAGATGAGATCTCGCTGCCCAGGCGGGTCTCGAACCCGCGGGCTCAGGCAATCCACTCACCTCAGCCTCCCAAAGTTGCGGGATTACAGGCTGAGCCACCGAGCCCGGCCCCTTCTCGCCTCTTTATCCCCACTAGAATCCCAGGAACTGGCCAGACCATCCAGGTGGGCTCCATTTTATAGATGGGGAGCTTGAGGCCCCAGCACTTGCCCAGATATTCAGAACTGCCTGACTTTCAGGGTCGGGTCCTGACTGAGAAGGCTTCAAGCCCCTCCCAGAGGCTCCGCAGACAACACCCAGACTCGCTTTCGCTGGCTGCCCTGATTCTGTTGGGCTCACACTATCTGACAGAGCCGCCCTGGGGCTTGGCCTCACCCTGGGCTCATGCTCACTGCAGCCCACCCTGGGTTTCCATTACTCCTCTGGCTCTCTACTGGGGTCCCCAGAGACCAGAAGAGTAGTGGGTTCCTGTTGGGGGGAGTGAGTCACTTGAAAAAGTGTGCCGGAAGCTCAGCCTCGGGGGAAGTGCCATTGCTTTCTAAAGTCTCCTAAGCTTGGTGGGAAGGGGGCAGTCTCCAACCAGCTGAGGCCCCTCATGGAGGTCCTTCCATGAATGCAGGTTACCACAGCCACCAGCCCAGAGGGTACCTGACCCCCCCACTTGGCACTTTTGCCCTGGGCAGGGCCCTCTGAGCCACATCGGAATGTTGGGTTCCCATGACACGCCAACAGACCCGCGAGTCCGTCCTCTTGAGCCCCTCCGGCTAACCAAGGGCCTTTGGCCCTGGGTGTCAGAGGAAGTCAAGTAAGCAGCCATCCTGGGATGAGCTCACATTAGCAGCTGGGGCCAGTACCATTCCAGGCCCTTCGTAATGTAAGTCTCTGAGAAATGACAGCTGGACATTCCCCGGCACCCCACAGCAAGTGCAAGTGAGAAAAGGTTTGCTTTAAGATTTCTGAAAATACAAGGGGGGACCCCAAAAAAAAAACCAGAATGTATTTTAGAAATTGCGTATTCTTACACGTTTAAACTTCAGTCACATTCAAAGTACTCCCCGTTTGATGCAATACAGCTATCAAGATGCTTTTTCCTGTGCTCAAAACAGTTTAGAACTCATCAGTTTTGATGCCTTTTAATGCTTCTGCCTTTTTTTGTTTCCCTCCTCCACATCAGCAAAACATTTCCCTCTGAGAACTTTTTTCATCCGTGGAAACAAAAGTCACTCAGGGCGACATTGGGTGAATAGGGAGGAGGGGGGCACAGCGGCCATGCAGTTTTTGGTAAAAAACTGCTGAACACTCGGCATGGTGTGGGCAGGTACAGTGATGCCGATGGGTTCCTAGAACACTTACCTAGTGGGAGAAGCCTACAAGGGCCTGCACTTGAAAAAGTAATTCTGGTTTTTGGGGGGTCCCCTTGTATGTGTTCTTTTCCCCAGCTTCATGGTAGGAGTCAAGCAGTTAGGGACTGAGTGGCAGACAAGGTCCCAGATCAGAGATGAGGACAGATGGGACCGTGTTGGAGGAGGGTGCAGCTTGGGTGCATGTGGGCAGGGGGAGTGCTGACCTTGGCTATATGATGCCCTTGAGAAGGAACATGCTGGTTAACCCTTCAGCATCCACAGACCCTGGGAGCCAAGCACGAGCAAGCCCACCTCCCAAAAGGCCTACTGATGCCGAGCGCCCTCCCTCCTGTCTTTCTGGGGCCAGGTGGGATCTCACCGCTGCTTCCACTTTTCCTAGAGGACATGAAATCGTGGCTACTTGACTCCAATGGGGGTGACCGCTGGAAGGTGGAGAGCCTCCCGGGAGACCATGGAACAAGTTTTCCTGACCCCAAGGTTAAGAAGTACTTTGTCACATCCTACGAGTAAGACACTGAATGGAGCAGGCTTCTGTGGAGGGGGCAGAGGGTCAGGGGACCTTTGCTGAGTCTTAGGCCTACAATAGGAGGACCCAAAAAAACCCAGAACTTATAAAAAATTGTATGTGTGTGTGTGTGTATATATATATATATATATATTTTTTTTTTTTTTTTTTTTTTTTGAGTTGGAGTCCCTGTCACCCAGGCTGGAGTGCAGCGGCATGCTCACAGCCACTGCAGCCTCAACCTGCTGGGCCTAGGTGATCCTTCCACCTCAGCCTTACAAGTAGTGGAACTACAGGCATGCACTACCATGCCTGGCTTATTTCTTGATTTACTGTAGAGACAAGGTCTCACAGAGTTGCCCAGGCTGGTCTCGAACCCCCGGGCTTAGGCGATCCTCTTGCCCTTGGCCTCCCAAAGTGCTGAGATTACAGGCTGGGCGACCAAGCCTGGCCAAAAATTGTATATTCTTGCATGTTTGAACTTCAGTTACCTTCAAAGTACTCTATTTGATATAGCACATTTTTCTTTTGAGTTGGGGGTCTCATTCTGTTGCCCAGGCTGGAGTGCCCGAGGCAGGATCACAGCTCACTGCAGCCTCGACCTTCTGGGCTTACGCAATCCTTCCGCCTTAGCCTCCCAACTAGCTAGGACTACAGGCACACACCACCATGCTTGGCCAGTGTTTTGATTTTTTTGTAAAAATGAGATCTCACTATTTTGCCCAGGCCTGTCTCCAACGCCTGGTCTCGAGCAGTCCTCCTGCGTCAGCCTTCCAAGGTGCTGGGATTGCAGGCATAAGCCACCATTCCCAGCTCGATGAAAGACACCTATCCAGACGTCTTTTCCACTGCTCAAAACAGCCTTTGAACTCATCAGTTTTGATGCCTTTTAGTGCTTCTGCCATTTTTGTTCCACCTCTTCCATTTCAGCAGACCATTTCCCTTTGAAGACTTCTTTCAACCAGGAAAACCAAGTCGCTCGGGGCGAGATTGGGTGATCAGCAGGGTGGGGCTCAGAGGTCACGCCATTTTAGGGCAAAAACTGCTGAACACTCAGCGCAGTGTGGGCAGGTGTGCTCGCAAATCACCCATCCCAAAATGGGTGAACATGTTGAAAGAATCTCCAAAAAAAGGAAAAAATCACTCAAGTCAAACGCAGCCTCTCTTGTTAGCTGGTACACAAGGATGCCAGTGGGTTCCTAGAATAGTTACCTTATGGGGGAAGTCTGTACAGCAAGGGGCTATCCTCTTAAAGGTAATTCCAGGTTTTTTGGGGTTCCCCTCCTAAGTGAGTTCCTCTGTGAAGCTTGAGGGTGGGGACCCCAGCACCTGCTCAGAGTCACTGCTTCCGGGTTCAGGGGCAGCGGGTACGATCCACTGAAGGGGGCCGGAGCCCATCGAGTAATCGGGATGACCAGGCTGTGTGAGGGCCCCTCATCTAGGAACGTGCCTGGGAAGACTGGGCCTCACTGGGGTCAGACCTCCTGCATGTTTCCCTTGGGACGGTACTGGGGCAGGAGCCAGAGTCGGCACCAGCCAGGCCTGTCCTGCAGTGGCCAAGGAACACCCTGGCGTGGGCGAGGGAGGGCCGGGCAGAGCACACCCAGGAACACAAGCCCCCTCTCTGCTCTCCAGCATGTGCCTCAAGTCCCAGCTGGTGGACCTCAAAGCCGAGGGCTACTGGGAGGAGCTGCTGGACACATTCCGACCCGACATCGTGGTGACGGACTGGTGAGTGAGGCTCGTGTCTGCACCCGCTCCATCCTTGCCTCGTGACTGCCACACCCACTCAGACCCAGCCTGTGGCAAGTGCCCACTGTGTCCTGGGGCAAAGCTGCCCCTAGAGCCAGGCAGACCTGACCTGCCTGCCCTCTGCCCACAGACGCAGCTCATACTCTCCCGACAGCACCTCTTGGCCTCCCTAGCACCCTATGATATGGTTGGGAGACGAATGCCCCCAGTGAGTTGTCAGCCAGGCAGTTGAGCAGCAGAGGACCCGGCCCTCCCTGGACTCGGTGGAGGCCGAGGCCCTCTCTCCTCCCTGCCCCTCGCCCCACTCATCCCTGGGCTTCCCCAAGCTCTTCCCCGCACTGAGCCGTGCTAGGCTCTGGCTTGGCCCATGGCAGAAGCAGAACCCCAGCTCTGGCCAGGCCCCAGAGGGGTGTGCAGGGCTGTGGGGGGAGGGGTGGCTGGGCTGAGCAGAGGTCACACAGGCCACCGATGCACTTGACTCCCATGGAGTCTACAGCCCAGTCGTTGGAAGTGACCTGGCTAGAGCAGACCAGGCCTCTGCAGAGGGCCTTTTGCTCTTCAAGGTCAATACAACTGAGGCCCAGCATGGACAGACTGCTTACCCTGGGCCACAGTGGGGCACGGGAAGTGTAAGGCCAGGGAGGCTCCAGCCAGGCTCAGGGGGTGACGCTTCGAGCTTCGAGCCCACCTGCCCGGGCCACCCCTGCCCCAGGGCTCTCCCCAGGGCTCACCCCACCCTCCCCAGGTTCGCCGCCAGAAGAGACTGCGGCTGCACCTACCACATCCGAGTGCAGCTGGCCTCAGCCGACTACATCGTCTTGGCCTCCTTTGAGCCCCCACCCATGGCAGTGCCCCAGTGGAATGATGCCACGTGGACAGAGGTGAGGCCCGCCCACTCCTCCCAGGGCCTGGGGTGCCTGCCTTTCCTTCCAGTCAAGGGCCAGCCCACTCCACCCCCAGCCCCGGGGGTCACTTCCTCCCCCCTCCTCCCCTAGGTCTCCTACACCTTCTCGGACTACCCTCCAGGCGTCCGCCACATCCTCTTCCAGCACGGGGGCAAGGACACCCACTACTGGGCGGGCTGGTACGGGCCCCGAGTCACCAACAGCAGCATCGTTGTCACGCCCAGGACAGCCAGGAACCCGGCCCCCACCTCAGCGCAGCCTGAGCTGAGGCAGGAGCAGGACGTGGCCCAGCTGCACGGCACCCTGTGACTGTCTGCCACCCGACAGCCGTCTGTCCGTCCTGCCTGCCTCAGCCAAGGGCCCCTCTGGGCAAGAGCTGTCCCCAGAGCGGGCAGTGAGGTCGTCCCGTCCTGGGAGCTCTGCTGGTTTCAGTCCTGGTCTGTGATACTTTCACCGTCACACATTTATTTTGTCATAATAAATGTTTTCAGTAAAACCAGCCTGGGGTTGAGTTACAGGTGGCGGGGGCCCGGCCCTTGTGTGGAGAAGCAGCCCTCCCCCAGTTCACGTGGCCACACCTGTCTCCCCCACTGTGGTCAGCAACAGCCCAGCTCAGCCCAGCCCTTGGGGCTCCTTTATTGAAACGACTCACAGCACAGCATTTGAGACAGACAGTGTGGCCGGTGGAGCCCCAGAGGCTGAGGAATCACGGTCCCAGAATCCTCCACTGCCCTCCTGGGGAGGTGCCTCTGTGAGGTGCCCAGACCCGGCGGCCCGGGCTGGAGGGCAGCAGCCCATCACAGAGGCAATAAGAGCACTTGGAATCGGGGTGGCCCTCAGCGCTGCCCGAGGCGGGCGCCCCGAAGCCTGACAGTCCTGGCCTCAGTGGGGTGGTGGGGGCACCCTCAGCTGCTTTTATGAGCTCGCTCTTCCACATAAAGCTGCATCTAATGGACAGAAATAAATGGCCATGGTCAGTGAGACGCCTGGGGCCCTAGCAGGCAGATCGCAGATCTCCTGGGGTAGGGCCGCATGGTCACAGGCAGGGTTAAGGGAGAACAGGGAGCCTGACACCGGACAGCAGCCAGCCCCCTCCTCTGAGCCTTGATCTGCAAGCCCCCTGGCAAGGCCTCAGCCCCCGCCCTCCCCACCAAACAATTCCTAAATAAAGCTTCCCAGTCCCCTCAAAGCTCACCTTTAAGATGTCCGATGTCATGGTCTTTAGAGGTATCAGCCGGGGGTCGTGCATGTGGACGTCCTGCTCATCCGCCAGGATCCAGGGGAAGTCCTAGGGCAAGGGCCAGCGTGAAGGGGCCGGAGGGGCTGGATCCCGGCCTGACTCTGCTGCCCCTCCCCGCTCCAGACTGGGGGCTTCTGACTCCGGGGAGCATCAGAATCACCGGGGAGCTGCTGGTGACATGGACGCCCAGGCTCCTCTATCGGGGAGGTTAAGTCTACGGAGGTCAAGCACCAGACCTGAAACTGGCAGGCCAGGAGCCCCCAGAGAGCCCCCAGTTCAGAAGAGCCTGGTGAGCGCCGGCCCCAGCATGCCTCCACCTGGACTCCCCTGTGCTCCCAGTGTGGATGGACCAGTGGCCAGGCCTGTGAGGATATGCCAGGTGCCAGGCGAGTCCCCACGAATCCTCATGAGAGCAGTGGCCACAGCAACACCCCTGCCTGCCTGCACCATGTTTCCAGAGTCTCTAGCCACGTCCCCAAGCAGTGTCACCTCACCTTGATGACCTGGATCTTCTCCATGTTACGGGTGGCAGCTTCTCTCGTGTGCACCAGGACAGTGAAGGTACAACCTGGGGAGGCAAGAGGTTGCTGGAGGCTGGGCCGCCTTGTGCTTGCAGCTGGGCCCAGCCTCTTCCCACCTTCCTCGCTGGTTTGATGGCCCCCCAAAGCAGAGTGTAAAGCAAGTGCTAAGAAAAGGCACAGTCAACAAGGAGAATGAAGTCAGGTGGAGTCAATCAGGGAAGCTTCCTGGAAGAGGTTCTGAAGGGCAGGAAGAGATGAGGCTCAGTGCAGCCTAACAGGGACCTAGGAACACAGACCAACCCAAAGTAACCATGGAAACGCCAAGAGAAGGGGGTGGGGAGTCAGCACACCTGGGGGGTTGTGGTCCAGGACGGCATCACACACGCTGATCTTCAGGATGAAGGCTCGGAGCAGCTGTTCCACGTGGGACAGCAGGGAGTCTGAGCTGGGAGCAAAAGGCGGTCTCCCATCACGCTGTGCCCACCCGCCCTCCCACCATGGGCATAGGCCTGGGGCCAAGGGGCCCTCCAACACCTCTGAGCGTTGGCATCTAGGGCCTGGCTCCCTAACTGGTGCACACAGTTAAAAATCACTGGGGAGTCTAAAGCCAATGCCCAGCCCCATCCCAAATGCAGGGAGGAGGGAACGGGCCTCTCCGAGTGGTTCTGAAGTGCAGCCCTGGCCAGAGAACCAGGACACCAAGCCTGGTGGGGAGAGGGCTTGCCTGAGACCACACAGCCAATGGGACAGGTTGGTGCCAGATTCCAGTAACCTGATCTCATCAGCTGACCAGCTAACCTATGCGTCCAAGGTCAACTTCTAATTGACTATGGACTAAGCGCTTGACTGGGAAATCAGGAAACTGGGTCTGGCGCCTGGGTCCTGCCACCACTCAGATTACCCCGGGCAGTCTGTCATCTCTCTGGACCTTGGTCTCTCCATCTACAAAACGAGGTAGGAGCTGGGCTCACGCCTGTAATCCCAACACTCTGGGAGGCTGAGGTGGGAGGACTGCCTGAGTCCAAGAGTTCAAGACCAGCCTGGCAACACAGTGAGACTTTGTCTCTGCAAAAAAATAAAAACAAAAAGTGAGCTGGGTGTGGTGGCGTACGCCTGTAGTCCTAGCTACGCAGGAGACCGAGGCGGAAGGATGGCTCGAGCCCTGGAGCTTGAGACTGCCGTGCGCTGTGATCATGCCACTGTACTGCAGTCTGGACAAAGAGTGAGACACTTGACTCCAGACGAAAAAGAGAGAGACTGGGACTAGCCACTCTCCAATGCTATGACTTTCCAGGTGCGACACAGGAGGGTGTCTGTGTCACCTGTGCGCTGCCCAGAGGGTGGTGCCTGGCCAGCCTGGTCTCAGCCACTGACAGGCTGGAGCCTTGTCATGTTGGCACGTCTTGCCGTTTCTCCTCTCAGGCCTTTACCAACGAACTCAGGGGCTGCCCTGAAGGGTTGGGGACACAGAGGTGGGGTATCCCTGGAGACAGACCTCACACCAGCTGGCAGGTGTAGGGGCGAGGCAGCTCACCTGATGGACAGAAGGGGAGGCTGGGTGATCTCAAAGACGAACTTCTCCACTGGGCGGTGCTCTTTATCCAAAATCACCACCACCACTTTCTCCACGTCATTCTGCAAGGACAGGACCCCTCAGTCCAGAGCCCGGCACCCCACCTTGCCTCCCCCCTGCCTACCACAGAAGGATGGGAAAGGACACACACTCAGCCCTGCTCAACTACGAGGCCGAGGGTCTCCGAGTGTCCCAGGACATCTCAGAGACCAGACAAGAGGAAACCCTGAGGGGCCCAGCGCAGACAGAAGTGGGGGGCGATGTAAGAAAAACCCAGAACCCTCTGGGGTAGCCCCACTCAGAGCCAGCTCCATAAGCCTAGGCTCCCAGACTCCCTGAACATGGCACACGTCTAGAGTGCAGGGAACAGGCATCTGGAAGTGAGAGCCATGGGGACTCCACATGGTCCTAGCATCACCCCCTCCTGAAGCTGGACCTGTGAGTGGGAAGGACAAACCAGGGGTAAGGCAGTTGGAGGGGCCTGGTGCCCCCTCACCTTCTCCAGGAGCGGCTTGACACAGTGCAGTGTATCCTGGATGTACTGATTCAGCTCCGGGTGGCAGGACATCTGCACACAACCCCATTGGCTGGTGAGGCCCAAGCAGAGACGGGAGACCACCCAACACCCTCGCGGGAGTCCAGGGCCCAATGTGCCCTCAGACAGAGATCTAGCAGCTCCCTGTGGAGACCCAACTTTCCCACATGGGACTAAGAACATGAATGTGTATGCACGGAGGCAGAGACATTAGAAGACAAGAATTCAACTTCCACTCTAGCATTTACGGTAACATTAGGGGTTCCTAATGTGGGGTTCGTGGACTCCTCCAGAGTCTGAAAAGGCCCTACAATTACACAAATAATAAAGTTATGAGTCTGTGCACATGGGCATTTTTCCAGAGAAAATATCCAAAAACCTAACTGTATTCCAAAAGAAGCAGTTTGGCCTCAGGCAAATTACTTAACTTCTCTGATCTTTTTTCTTCATCTGTGAAAGTCTCATAAAGTGAAGATTTGGTAAGTACTTAGTACACAGTGAGGCTCACTAAGTGTGGATTCTTTTTTTCATTTTCCCTGGAAAGGTGCTCTCAGCTATGGGATTACATTCAGATAAACTCATCAAATATTGTAAGTAAAAATGCATTTTCTGCACCTAACCTACTGAACATCATAGCTTAGCTAACTTAAATGTGCTCAGGATACTTGTTAGCCCACAGCTGTGCAAAAGCATCTAACACAAGCCGTTTTTATACTAAAGTGCTGAATAGCTCATGTAATTTCTTGATTACTGTACTGAAAGGGAGAAGCAGAATGCTTGTATGAGTCCTTGAGATGTGTGTTGGTTTTGTTTTTTTTTTTGAGTTGGAGTCTAACTCTGTTGCCCAGCCTGGAGTGCAGTGGCACACTCACAGCTATTTCAGCCTGCTGGGCTCAGCCAATCCTTCTGCCTCAGCCTTCCAAGTCGTTGGAACTACAGGCGTGCGCCACCATGCCCAGCTAATTTTTCGTAATTTGTTGCAGAGATGAGGTCTCACCAAGTTACCAAGGCTGGCCTCAGGCAATCCTCCGGCCTCTGCCTCCCAAAGTGGTGGGATTACAGGCGTGAGCCACCGTGCCCCCCGGTGTGGTTTCTACTGCACCCGTTGTAAGTTGGAGATGATCTGTCCATTCTGTAAGTCCAGGCCCCTTCCAGAATTCATTTCTTCTGAGTGTTTACTGGGTGCCTTCCAAGGGACAGGCACTTCTAGGGACTGAAGGAGCATGGCATGGATACTGTTTAGTCTGCCTTTCAACCCTGACCCATCAGAGTTTAGGGTAAATGGTCCTGGAGGTTTTTGGAAATCCCCTCCCCACACTGAGGTTCACCAGCTCCAGGAGCTTTTAAAACACCACCAGGCCCCCAGGGCAACTCTAGGGGAGGACCTAGCGCCTAGCTTCAGACAAGGGGAACTCCCTTGTGGGGGGACAGCAGGCCCACTCCTCCGGAAATGGAGGGCACAGGCAGGCCGCTGGCGAATGAGGTGGCCGGGCCTTGAAGGTGGAAGGGAGTTTTTACAAAAACTTCTGCTCGCTCTGTGGTTCTGGGCCGCCCGGCCGCGGGGCTCACCTGGACCGGCACGTTGTACTTCTTGCGCTTCTGGAAGATGCCCACCGGGTAGACCTCGCGCACGTAGAGAATCAGGTGCACGGCCACTTCCAGGAACTCGCAGAGCACGTCGGCCACCACTGAAAGGGCACAATCCCGTGCGCTCGGGAAGCCCGCCGGTCCAGAGGCCCTCCCCCGGGCCCGCAGGCCCAGCCTCCCTACCTTGGCCAAAGTTGAGGTCCTGCCGCGTGAGCGTGGTCATCCTTCCCGCTACCTGGGAGGGGGGCAAGGGCAAGGGTAATCCTAATGCCAACGGTCGGGGAGCCGCAGAGCCCGCCCGCCTCCACGCCCGCCCTCCGTCTTGGGGGGTGGGGGCAGGACCCCACGCCCAGAATCAGGGCAGTGTGAAAGACCCCTCCCAGGCGGGCGACATAACTTGGGGACGTCAGCCTCTGTCCCCCGGCCCCCCACGTCCCCTCGCCCGCTGTGTCGGGTGGTAGGAAAGACCGGAGCCTTGCAGCAGAA